TTTAAAATAGATTTAAAATAGTTAAAATCCAAAAATTGTACAGTTTTCTTTGGGTACTCCCAGAAACAGTGTAAAATGCTGGATCTGTCCCTTATTACAGAGACTTGAGTTAAAAACTGGGGTGTCAAGTGTGAAGGTGGGTAGAGGTGAAGGAATGGAGCCCATACCACTAACCCAATCCAGCTTCATGTGCACCGGTAGCTATTTAACCAAAATGACATGGAAAATATATATTAATTTTAGATTGCTATGAGTCAGCTTCAATGGCAAACCTGTGATGCTGACTTGATTTAATTGAAAAGTAAATGCAGGCCAGGCAAGGAAGATTCGGATGAGCTTTCACTCACTTTCTCCTAAATCCTGTCTGGTTATCAGCAGCACTTTGACCCCTTCAATTCTCCTTGAGTTTCCATCTGACTAGGCTGGCCCACCTGACAGGTCCTGTGTGATGTCTGAGATGAAGCTGGGGCCTCACAGTCCAGAGGATTCACCTGCAGCTCGTCACCCTGAGTTCCTCACAACTCAGGCTATGGTGCCTGCTCACCAGACAAACAACCTGATGGGCAGCTGGGCCACCCAGCAGGGAGGTTTGTGTTTGGGGCTGTATCACTGTGTGAGGAGCTTCTAGATCATGCATGCAGTAATAAACCCCAGCATCCTCAGCCTGCACCCTGCTGATCTTCAGGGTGAAATCTGTCCCTGACCCACTGCCACTGAACCGGTCTGGGACTCCAGAGGCCCGGTTGGAAACCAAATAGATCAGGAGCTGTGGAGACCTGCCCGGCTTCTGCAGGAACCAATGCAAATAGGTTTTTCCATTACTGTGCAGGAGGCTCTTACTAGCCCTGCAGGAGATGGACGCCGGCTCTCCAGGGGTGACAGCCAGGGAGAGTGGAGTCTGGGTCATCACAATATCCCCACTGGATCCTGAAAGAGGGAGAAAGAACTGCAAGGTTAGAAAGAAACATTCGTAGACATTTTTCATTCTTTATTCTGGGCTAAATTATTTTTCATGTGTGTGATTTTGTCTTGGGGCCTCAAAATATTCAATTTGAAGCAGAACAGAGATTTTCAAGCCGTGAGAGAACTTCTAGAAGTTCCCAATATCTTCCCCTCTGTCTGAGTCAGAGTTTTTACTAGAGTTTTCATAGTTCCTTGTAGAATCTTCCTCACTTTCTCAGATCTGAACCTCACACTCTGCATCCTGGAGGACAAGACGTGCACATCTAACACAGAGCATACGTAACAGGCAGTGGATCCCCGAGGTCCCCCTCACCCCATTCCCCTCCTCATGTCCTTCTGTCCTTACCAGGGACCCAGAGCACCAGCAGCCCCAGGAGCTGAGCAGGGAGCCTCATTGTGAGAAGTTGGACTGAGGAGTCCTGATCAGTCAAGGTAGGGTCAGAGCTGAGCTTTTATCTCAGACTCCCAAGGGAAGGTCCTCCCTGGGGGACAGTATGCAAATCCCCTGGTGGGTGCAGTGGTGTTGAAAGAAATAAGAGGTGGGTGGGGCCCTCTCTTGAGCCAACTGATAGGAAATATTATCTCGGTTTAGAAGGAAACTAAAAGAACGAAATGTATTCTGCCTCTGTAGGAGAAAGGACATATTTAATTTTTCCTTCTTTTTCCTCCACTTATTTTTAGTTTTTCTGCATTTTGCTGGGAAGATTATAGTGTCTGAACTGAAGAATTTCCATTTGTCATTGTGTTTTGTAATTTTAAGTGTAATGTGTGTCATTCTGAACTTACTGTGTTTCACCAGAATGTGCTTTATTGAGTTTCTTTCATCGATGCCGCAGTGTATTGTGCTGCATTTGAAAAGTTTTTGCTATCGTTGTTTTCAAATATTTTTCTCATTTCCTTTCTCTCAGGTCTCCTCGTTACTTCCATACACACTGACCTCTAACACTCTGAGGACTTGTTCATTTGCTTTAATCTTTTTTTCTTTAAAATAGATGATTTCTAATGACCTACTGTCAAGCTCACTGCTTCTTTTGCCATAGATGATGGTTTTGTATCTATCTAGTGAATTCCTCCCCTGGGTTCTTGAACTTTTCATTTCCTGAATTGTCATGTTGTCTTTTTTTCATAACTTCTACTTCTGTATTGAAAATCCCTATTTGTTGAATGATATTCTTCGCATTTGCTTTTATTAGCCTTTGATCATAGATCAAAGATTAACAACCATTCTTTAATGTCTATAATTATTTTGAATTCTGTTTCCTATTTAATATTTAAGTACTACTATCACTTCTTTTGTATTATCCTTATTTTTAGCTTATGGTTTGACTTTCTGGGACCTGTCCCTCTATCTGTATTGTTTACTAGTAATCAATGATTTGGGAGGCTTTGCTTAAACATCAGAAGCTCATGATGCTTCTACCAATTCACCTTCATGTGATTTGGCAACTTCATGGAAACTGCAGCAGCTCTTACTTCCTTTCTTCTTACTTATTTACCACTCATCCTTCTTGACCTCTGTGTTAATTCTAATACGTATGCAGAGATTGTCTCATCAACTCTGTG